TTGTGGCCCGTATAAATCCACTGGAAAAAGAAGACCAATAAGTACAGGGATAGCATTATTCTACGCTCCCACTGCAACTGAACGACAGAAAGAACACTGGCAGATAGCATTAACTTTGGCCCTAGATCAAGAGACCTGGCATTTAAGAAAGCTAACAGACTGAATCTAATCTCTGTTTTCACAGAGTTAGCACGAGCTTTCACACTAATCTAGGCCTATCATAGACGTAAAAGGTGGCTAGATCCTTTCGCGGAATTTATGCAGAGGAAGAATTACATCTCAGTATAATAAACATCTCTCACTAGCAGCTTAACAATTTACCTTGCTATATGTACCATGGTGGCATTGAAACAGAGTATTTATTTGAGCAAAACCAGTTTAATCTTAGGGTTCATCTTCCATCCAACACTTCCAAAGCATTTTATGAAAGAAAACATAGACTGTCCAGGTGTACAAACTGAACCACGTTCTGTTCTCACAACATGCAAACTGGAATAAAATCCATGTGACTCAGTGCATTTACAAGAGCAAAACAGGTCATGGGGGACTGTGTTTGCATTAAGCATAGAACTATGTGTCACAAGGTTGCTGCACTCAGCAGTGCCTTACTGACTCAGTTTGTGCTAGCTGCCCCATAATTGTATTAAACATCTTAAATCTACCCCTGCCTCCATGTTTGAATTATAGTCATCATTCACAATACTGTTATTAGGGGAAATAAACTGACAGCACAGAGAAAGCTCCCGTCTGCCACTTTTAGATCCATATTCACTGTATCTCAGAAAACATGCTGCAGGATCAAAAAAACTTCAGAGAAAAGTAACATGCCGAAAGAACACTTTGGAATAATTTCTATACAGGCAATAGCTTGACAACCAGTCCCTGGCCAGGATTTAGGAGGGGTGTGAAATGTATGTTTAGATCACAGTGGGCAAAGATTTTTCTTTTCAATTCATTTGAAAAAGTTCAGAAGTAATTATTCTCACTGCCAATACCCTAAAATCTCCATTCGTTTTATACTAAGCTCAGTACTGTATGTGAAGAGTGAGCATTCCAATTCACAGTTGCAGATTTTAGTATTACTTGCTTTTCATTGTTTATTCTTATTGGACTGCATATATATTCATTGAGATTTCCATCAAGATCCTTAAGTGCTTTTCATTCATGAAGATCCTTCTTCCCAAGAAATTGCATTGGTCACAGGTGAACAGTTAGTTCTCTGAAAACCCTCTAAACTTTTCTGACTACCTACCCTGTGTTTTTACATAATGTGCACATACACCTTTAAATATCTTTTTTTTTTCCTTGTTTGTGAAAGCTGAATACTACTACCTAATAGCTGTAGGATTGCATAAAGAATATGAGCCCTCTGCCACACAGCTGGGCATTTATTTTTGCACTTCTTAATCCATTGTTTCCTCCAGTCTATTTCATAACACTTCAGATCTCACACCCATGACTATGTATTTTCCTTACTATCTTACTGTAAAGCACTTTCTCATACAAATTTTTAAACCTGCCAAATAACTTATCACAACCAGATCTCTGTTAGCTACCACTTTGTTGACAAGAAATCACAGACCATTAGAAGCAAGGCAAGATGCCATTCTATGATAATAGTCTTTAAGAGGTCTTGCATATCTGAAACATTTATCTTAAGTACTTTCAAAGTGTCCTTCTGCTTATAAGAGAAAAAAAATAAATTCAAAAATGCAAAATGCGTTCATGCTCTAAGTATTATTATTTAGACTTAGATACACTGTAAAAAAAGATAAAATAAGGAATATAAGATAAATATTTGCATGCTATTTACAAACATGCTGTATCCTCTTTTATTCCTATGGCGATCAGTTCCTACTAACTGCAAGGATAGCAGTGAGATTCATACATATGCGGTGAACACACTATTCAGAAAGACAACAGTGAATTTCAGCTCTGTAAACACACATTATTGCAAATGTCTATTGTATTCAGCATCAGAATTATAGCTGATGTCAATTTAAATAAATGCAATGTCCAAAGACTAGAATTACTGTTTTTTGTGTGTCATCCATGTATCTTATCCAGTCCTGCTGCTTTCTACACAAAACTCTTTTTTCTGAAGTTTCATGCAGGCTTGCTTTCATATTTCTTCAAATCTGTCATCTGAAACATTCACACCAAAGTTGTGGAAAATTCGTGCAATCTACAAAATAATAAATTCATGTAATTCTGATCAGCATTTCCTTTAAACTATGGCTTTTACACATATTAGCAATTGCTATTTGTCAAAGAATGTTTTTTCACTCTTAAATAAAAACTACAGACTGTATCCTGCATCCTTAACCAAAGAATTTCCTATTTAAGTAAATCTGAATCTTATTGGGATGAAAGCTGTGGTGTACAAAATTGTCTTTAGTTAATAATGTTGACACAATTTCAACATTGGAAAAATTACACGCAGAAGATTCAGGGAAAAGTAAATGTTTTTTAAAAGCTGTAAGTCAAGTCCTATTTATCCATTGTATTTTTACTGTTTAGAGTTATCAACATAAACCAGATTATATTAGTGTCTGCGTTTCGCAGCAAGAATACTATATGTAAGATCTTCAGTTGGTACAGATAAATGGGTGAAGTGACTAAAATGAAATGGTTCACATCAACTTTGGGTCTTCCTATAGTTTTAAACCAAAGAATTCAGCAGAATTTTTTTTTCTATGTTTTTTCACTTGGATGCTTCCTGCTGCATGCCTTGTTACATTGACCTGTTGACTCATTACAGGAAGGTGGCTTTAGAAGAATATTGGCATGACTTGTGCTTTTGTTAGTATTAGCAAACGTTTGGCTGCTATAATTTTAATGTGCGTGTGTGTGTTACATATATGCCCTGGAGATTTTATGCATGCTTTGATAAAGTAAGACCTTTAATACTGTCAAATCAACCTTATTTATCATGTTTCTCTAAAAAACCCTGTCTTTTCTATAAATATAGGCCTGATCCACAGTACAGCAAATCTGCAGCTTTATTTTAGCCAATAAATCTATGACAGTTTATTCTAGCTGAAATCACAGGAGGAAAACACAGACTAAATTTTGTTTCTTTAGGCACAGGTGTTGTTTCAGTTAAATCAGTAATATTGCTCATGAGGAAAACAAACCAGATTTGCTCTAATGTGAAATTTAAAAGTTAAACTAGAAGCAATATTCTATTACAGGTTATCACTGCAGGGACCATAAAGGACTGCATGCTCTCCTAACTCGGCTTCACCGTATTAAAATACAACTCTTTCCTGGCTCATCAACAGCCATAAAATAACCAGTGACTAAACCACAAACTATTAAGTGTACAGATAGGGTTAAACTGACCCATACCTATTATCAGCATGATAACATTGAATACAGATTACACACTATTACTCAATTACATAACTTCTATTCTCTTCAACAGACTCGGATGAATTCCAGTGAAGAAAACAGCAGCCCCTGGAACTATTTTGCTATTTTGTAACATGAAGAGTCACCTCATGAAACTGTTTGATGGGCAGAATTTGCATTCATTTCTACAAGCCTATACAAAAGCTGGTAGTACTAAATGACTCTGGGCTTTCATATAATAATTTTGTTAGCTATTACATGTTTGAAAATGTTAATGCTTCATATCACAATAAATCAAAGATCATCACTAAAATATTGGAACAGTTCGCTTCATGAGTATAGGGTGGTTCTGTATTGAACTCTGAAATTCAGAGGTGGTTCTGTACTGAACTCTGTACAGCCTGTATAGTCTACAATGAAGTATGACATCTCAGGCCACATTATATATATGTACATAACATTCTGACAAACCGTTTTATGGAAAAGTCTAGAACATGACACCACACCTTTTACATCTAATTACACTAATTAGCAACATTGTTTTCTGTAAAATATATACTCAGTTTCAGATCTACTTTTAAATGCGACTGAGTATTTAATATAATGACTCGTAGAGAGGGAGAGGTTGTAAAGGGTTTTTTTTTTAATTTTAGATTGGAATGTCACATTTACAATTGTCTCACAAACTGTATTTCAGGTAATGAAGTTATCTCTTCATATTTTTTCATTAGAAAAATGCAAACAAATGTAGAAGCAAAAGAGTGAACAATACTAAAGAAGCAAAGTTGTTTTAGTATTTATGTGATAGCAGCCCCCAGAGACACCAGAAAGAAAAAACTTAGAGTCCTCAAGTAAGTCCCTACAGTCTCATGTCCTATCTTTCTCTTCAATATGAGATGGCACAGCATGAGTGTGTGACTCTCTATACCCTCTATCACTGCACAAGTCCTTTGTAGATGCAAGCCTACGACCGTGACTCGGCAGAGCACTTAAAAGGCATATTCAAGCAGTTTGCTGAATTTGCCATTAGCAAAACCTGCAAGTTTGTTTGAGGAGACATACTTTGGGTAAAATTTTCCACTGAACATCCTTCTGTGATAGAAATTAGTGTTACACACCTGCAAAAATCTTTTGTGGCTTTTTAAGATACCTACTCATAGAATCATAGAATAACTTAGGTTGGAAGAGGTCTCTGGAGATCATCCATCCAACCACATAATCAAAGCAGGGCAAACTTTACCATTAAATTATGTTGCCTGGGACCTTGCTCAGAAATTTGAACACGTGCAAGGATGGAAATTTCACAACCACTTTGTTCTTCTCACATTGCAGATCTTAAGCCCTAAATTAATTACCAACCCTCATTTGACACATCATTTAAGCATGTGAGTAGCAACAACCTGACATACTTCCTTATATTACTTACTGAAGTTGGTTCTCAATAAAATTAATGTCTACAACCTTTACGAATAATTTTGAATATGAAGAGTAAATATTTTTTTAGATAGTTGAATGGATGTAAAGAAAGATGGTAATGTTGCCACAATAAGTTCTATAACCTGTTTATTTGATAATACGACTTTCCACTTCCACATGACTAGAAGTACATTTACCTTGGAAAACCATTCTGAAGAAATGCACTATACCTTTGCCTTTGGTTTTGTTTTTAAAAAGTCTCTTTTTACCACTCCCTCTTCACTGAAGACAGAGGGGAACGATAATGCATAAGCATTGGCCTCATCGCCATAATTAGTTCTGTCACTGATGCGGCAAATTTGAGAAGCAGGAATATCTGAACGATTAATCGAAACACCACACACAGGATAACCTGTGGAAATCAATCAACAGGTAGCATGGAAAGATAGTCAGGAAGAATAAAACATTTTGTGTGAAATAAGAACACATTTTGTGTGAAATGAGAACAAATTTGATACTTCATCTCACATAGGTTCAATAAGAATGGATATAATTTTATTCATAGAATCATAGAATGGTTAGGGTTGGAAGGGACCTTCAAGATCATCTAGTTCCAACCTCCCTGCCATGGGCAGGGACACCGTCCACTAGATTAGGTTGCTCAAAGCCTCATCCAACCTGGCCTTCCTCATCTATTTTTTTCATATTTTTAGAATTCCTAGCTTCAGCTACATCATGAAGCTTGACAACAGGAAATCTTGCAGTAATATTCTAGTACTTATCCAGTACTTGTAACTAAAAACATTTTTCGGTGATTCCAAGAAGACATTGTTCTCCTAAAATTACTAGCATAATTTCTCAAAGACATCGAGATTAACTTCCACATTTTGAACGTATTAACCATGCCAAACATCCAAACCACAATCCTAAACAAATTTAGTTTAGATAAATTAATTCACTATTATACATTAGTAGAGCTAGTAGCAACACTTTTTAAACTTGTTCCTGATTTTGTCTTAAATAATGCTCAGAAGTGAGAAACACAGTTCACTGTACTTACAGGCTGTTGGGAGACCACCGACTACAGCATTATACTGAGAATAAATTGTCTGATAATTTCCAAATACATGATCTGTTCATCTTGTAAGTGTTTTGGGTGTCTTTTCTGAGCTTCCTGGTTCTTTTAACACAAGATGTCCCTGCTTCAGCAGTGGCTCATCGTTTGTCTATGTGTCTTCAGGCAGAACAGGAGCATCTATTTTTTCTGCTATAAAAAAATGTTACAGTAAAGCCAGGATTTATTACCAACACATTATAAACTAAGAAGCAAAAACATTGTTTGAATCCCTGAAAAACTATAAAGTAGATAGCATAATATAATTAATCACATATCTGACAATGAGATTTTTCACTTTCTCCTGATTTATGGGACATTCTCAACACGCAACACAGAATACCAGGGTTCTGAAATACATTTGTATCTGAGGCTCTGCTGGGGACAGGCATGGACTAAATGCACTCCTTAAATCCTACTCTCCTAAAGGAGCACCTAGTGTACATCAGCAGTGTTTTTTCAGTAGTTATTGTAAGAACAAGATCATTTCCACAATTTCCCAGTATTAAGTCATATATCTTTTGTACTTATTTTTTCTTCAAACTCTTTAATAGCCATTTTGTCTTTCCAATTCAGAAAGTTTGCCAACTTCAGATAATTAATCAGACCATCTTTGTCCAAATCATAACAGTCAAACAAAGAATCCAGGAGCTCATACTCCAGATTCATATTAAGGTGAAAACAGGACTTGCACAGGACATCCTTGTCTATCATTTCATCACCACTCTATTATAAATAAAATAAATCAGTTGTTATAACAGCCATTATAAAACGGCTCCACCAAAAGGAACACATACACTCATATGTTTATATATACAGATAGGGAGACATATATATAGTGACGAGCACACTATTCTGGAGGTATAACATTGCTAAGTACAGAAAGAAATCCTGAGTAACATAGAAATTAAAAATCTGACTATAAAAGTATCAATAAGTAATTTTCAACAAGGAATACAGTGTTTTGAGATTAAGAGAAAGTCAGTGTGACAGGGTATTGTGACAAGATAACAATCTAATCATAAATGTTGGGGCAAAGCTAAGATTTCTTTCGAAAGCGAGGCATCAATCATTCTGTATACATCACAATTAATGTCATATATGAAATGTCAATTATATTTTTTTTTTCCTAGAGAGAAAAGAAAAGATATGAAATTCTGGTGCTTGGCGATTCAGTCAAAAAGTGTAGCTTGGAAGAAAATATGAACATAATCCCTTCAACTGTATGTCTTTTTAGAAGAATCATCAAATTTTGAGAAGCAAAAAACACTGATTATTACTGCTCACAAGTCCCTTGCTTGCTGTTAACTTGGATATTCCAAATACTGTTGTGTTTAATTCCATAGCATATCACAGTATATTAAACCTAGAAATAACTATGAAGTTACCTTGTCTTTATAGTTTTCATCTATATTTGCCTTGTTATGCTTGTGTTTCTTCATGTCTGTATCTCCATTGCACAGGAGTGCTAATGTTACACACTCCTTTACATTTACATTTTTTAAAAGCACTAACCTTATCATAATGCCTGAATGCCTCTAGTAACACGTCAAAACTCTCATAGTTAGCTTTCTTCACACTTTGCTGAGCTGCAGTCAAGACAGCTCTCTCTCTGTCTCTACCAGAGAGGAACTCACATGGAACACAACAGTGAAGATCGCCAACTCTTATAATAATAAACACTTGCTCAATTAGTTGCGCATATACAGTAATCGGACATTTCAAAAAATGGCTTACAGTCTGAAGGAAAAGGAGAATTCAATTCAGTTTCGAGATGCTGAGTTTCAGTACTGCTGAACATCTGATACAGCCATTTCATTAAAAGATCAAATGGTCCATATGATGATTTCTCTACTCATATGCAGTTAATATCAAAAATTTTGGAACATCTTAATACAGCTTCAAAAATCTATCCATTGCTTCCAAAAGCTTCTGACAGCTATGAGTTACCTGATGCCCAGATAGTCAAGAGCAAAAGAACATATATTAATAATCTGTCACTCCCAGTCTGACATATTTCAGGATACTTAAAAGAACCAATGGAGAAGTCAATGTAATATTTCAGATAAGTATATACCATTGATTTCTAGAAAGACTATGTACTATTTTGAGTTACACTTCCCACTTTCTACATATCATAACCTTATCAATATTTTTTGGCACACTGAGCTACAGTTTTCATCCAATTTCATCTAGTTGAGACACCAAGGTCACCTTCTAGGACGCAAGAAGTTCATTCACAGTCCAATAACAAATAGCAGTAGCAGTAGCTATTGTAGGGGGTCACCTAACCCCCTTCTAAAAGCAACACACATGCATTATTTTCTACTTGTTAATAATGAATATATTTATTCAGTTCCTTCTGCTGTTCCTTATAGGACAAGCATACCTACACTTTTTAAATATTTATTACCCTACATAGTAAAGAATGGATAAAAGCTTATGCAGAATTCGAACAAATCCTCTCTGGTCCTGACTAATTAACTTTGAGTCACTTACATTTTTTGCTGCCTAACCATTCATTGTATTCTTTAGTGATTAAAAATAATATTAAAACACCATAAATCCCAACACTTACTGAGTTGACTAGTTTTAAAAATTTTGTCATAATGACAACAAACTTTTCATTTTCATTCTGTTTTCTGTCTCTCTGCTACCTTCAAAAATCTATTGCTTGTTATTTTAACTCTTTTTATAGAAGTGCTGGAAAAATCATGAGAGGAAACACACATAATTGATTTAAATAGCCATTTTAACTTTGTCACCTAGATGTCAATACAAGTTTTCTGCCATTTCTCATTTTGTTTACATTCAGATATAAAGGCTTAAAAAAAAAATTAAAAACCATGAACATCCTCAAACTAAAGTTTATTTCTGACATTCCTTTTTTTTTTCCACTAGCAATTTCAATTCTTCTCGAATTTTCGCTTCAAAAATTTAGTGTCACTATAAAATTTTTGTACCTTGCCTCTAATCTTTTAGGAAAACCATGTACTACACAACCAACAGTACTTACTTCAGCGTAGTTTCATCAACAAGATAAGATTTTATTCTGCCCCTGACGTTACCATATTCATCTGGACGGAGTAACATTCCAAAAGTACAGCCTGAGGGAACATTGATAGTTTCTGCTATACTGTCAATAAGCACATTTCTTTGTTAATTGTCAAATACTTTATTAATAGCCAGAATAAATCCCATGTTATTACTTAAAGAAATGTGATGATCTGTTATACAATTAGGAATGATACACAGTTCATATGAATTTTTTTTTATCAGTACGTTGCTTCAAAGTTGCCATTCCAGAAAAGCATCCCTTTATCAACCTGTTTAGAACATTTTCTGTTTGTAATATAACACAACCAAACATAAACCTTAACTTTTTGAATATTTGAAGGAAAAAAACTCATTAAAAGGAAAAATATTCTATGCTAAATTTTTTTTTTTTTTTTGAAGACAGTGACAGAGATGTTCAAAACCCGCCTGGACGTGTTCTTGTGTGATCTGATCTAGGTGGTCCTGTTCTGGCATGGGGATTGGACTAGATGATCCTTATGATCCTTTGAGGTCCCTTCCAATCCCTAACACAAGAAAAAAAAAAGTGTGAGAAAAGTCCTTATAACATACTAGTCAAATAATAGGAATGTTTAGGACAAATCACATCTCCAACTGAAATAATGTCTCCAAATATACTACTTTCAGCTAAAGTGGAAAAATTGAATCACATCTCACATGTTTTTTCACATGCAATTGTGTGTCGACTGAAATCAGCAACCAAGCCAATATCCACCTTGAAAACTTGATCCAGTTTTACTTACCAGAAAATTAAGATACTATTGGTGACACTAGGGAATTCCTTGCTTCTTTCTTTATTTGAAAAAGACGTAATGTTCATTTTAATTATGTTTCATAATTAAAACTGTTACATGAATCAGAAATCTCCATCAAAATTGAAAAGAGAATCAGTGCTTTGTTCTAAAATACAAAACAAACACACAAAAAAACCCACACAGATATAGAAGCACTGTAATCTAAAAACTACTATGTGTATTTTCCTTTTATCATTTTCATATTACACACAGGACATGGATGGTGTAAAATTCACTGAATAAAATTAAGTTAGCTTGTATCTGTCTTGTAGTGTCAGCGCTGGGTTTGAGCTTGCACTGGAACTCATATTCTCTGACTGATCAGACTGCCTCATGTTGCTCACACTCCAGGTCTACTTCACAGTAAGCCAGGACACAGTGAAGGGGAAACAGGTTCACATTTGTGTTCACTCCCTACAGGTACTATGGGCATAGCTCTCCACAGTCACTTAGGTCTGTGATCTTGAGCTTAAAACTAAATTTTGCTACCAAAGTCAATAGCGTTGTTTGTGAGTCTTTAGATACAACTTTGCAGAAATCTACAGCATCTGCAAAGACAGTCTTTGTATACATTCAGGAACCCCAGATTTGTAGCACAGCTGGATCCTGACCACACTGCACATTAGGAATACTGTAGCTCTTCGTAAGTATTGTTTTGTAAAATCAAAAAGCTGTTCCAGATCACCTGAGGTTTATGAAGTGCTATAATTCAACTAAGATTGATACATGCTGCTAGATAGTAACACAACTTATTACCTTGTTCTTTTCCAAGGAAGTACTACAGTGAGAATACAGGTGATGTAACAAAGATGACCAAAGATAGTGTCAGAGTTAAGTAAAATGGTAAAATCCCCAAACAATAGGTGAGATATTTCAGTTCTTTCAAATCTCAGCTGCAAAAGACAGGGAAAAAAAAAAAAATAGTTACAGTGTGCTTGCAATTTGCTTGGAGCAAATCTGATCAATTCAGATACAGACTATTTAAACAATAAGACTTAACTTCACCACATGGACACAATGCAGCCCTCAGTAGTAACTTGTGTACTTATCAGCCTGATTGGGCAAGTAGAAAGTCCCTCTCTGTAACTGAGTGCTGCAGTGGAAGCATTGAGTACACAGTTACAATTCTTACCCAAGACAGAAAAAGATACTGGAGTCTCATTAAACGTGGCTGAATTTTGTTCTGGGAAGGTATCTTTGCTTACTTACTGATCAAGGACTTTTCCAAGCTGAGGTTGAAATTTTTCCTTGAAATCATCACTTCATTTTAATATGATTTTTCCTGATCTCTTCCTACAAATTATGCAAATAACTCTCACACATATTTGTTTAACAATATTCAACAATTTTTCAATAATATTAAAAAATATTATTATACATTAGAAGGAAACATCAACTCCTCTGCAAGAAAAACATGAATTTAGTAACTGAAAAATCTTGCTGTTTTAAATCAGAGATGTCTTTATGTAATGCTAAAGACACGCCAAGTGCTGTTATACTACGGCAGAACTGATTTGGATCAAATATTCTGAAAATTACTCATTGCATTTTCTGTTCAGTTCAATATAGCTAAGGATTGCATTGCAACATGTAAAATTATCTTCAAATATGAAGACTCTTCTTGAGAACTCACAGCACCAATTAACTAGTTAACTCATTGCAACTTACCATTGCAGATCATAGAGACAATTTAAGGATTGGATACACTTTGTCCATCTTTAAAGTGAGGGGTTTCTATTCCATAAAAAAAAGCCTTGCTGAAGTTTGGCAAGCCATACTTCTCATTTATAGCTTCCCCTGTGGACAAAATAAGCATTTCAACCTGTATAGAACACCTCAGGAAGAAAAATGTACTAAGAATCTTCATTCTTAAGACAAAATAATGAAGAAACAAAAGTAAATAACTAACAATTCTGTTCAATTAAAGATAACTAATCTGCATTCTCCATGTTTATTAAGTAGTTAGGAATAATCTGTCAAAAGTGAAGACAAAAGGCAAAATAAAAAGCAAAAACTGCTTCAGTAGTAAAATAGTTGTATGTCCTTTTATGTCTGACTAAAGACAAGCCCAACAGAATTAATGAAAAAATATCAGGTAGCCTAGGTAGTGAGGGTCATGCAAACAAATCACTTTATAATGCCTGTACCTGAGCAGAGATGTATACCGTTTAATTTATTATTTGTTTAAAAAAAATGCTAAAAGGAAAAAAAAAAAGTTTTGAGGTGCTGCACTTTCAGATATACTCTTGCTGTTGATTCAATAGAAATTTTGCCACTGACTTCACTGTCGACAAAATATTACCCTTTTAGGTCATGAATCTGTTAAGCCAGTCTTGCCTGTAAAATGAAGTTTCATGTACAAAAATATCACATAAGTCCTCTGTGTAAGCGAGCTGCAAGTACATGTTTCTTGTCACAGAAAAAAATGCCTTTCTTTTTCTTCCTGCTCTTTTCAATCACCTTTTGAAAAGAATGGTAATAAGAACTTTCAAAAAATATTATTCACTGTATGCTTTCTAGCAAGGGCTTCCTCTGGCTGTATGGCAGCATGGAATTTTATGTTATTGTTCAAAACTGGGGCACACAGTTGACTCTTTTTGTTGCTGTCTGTCTGGTTTTGGCTTGGCTTCTCCATGATCTTGTGGACAGAAGTTACAAAGGAGATAGAAACAGATAATGAATAATTCCACTAGAACACCTAACATTAAAGTGAGGAGAAGGGGAAACAAAATTACAAGTTCATACCAATTTATACCAATAGTATAAATTTTTACCAATAGCACATGTAGTAGAATTTCTTAATGAGAGAACACAGTACTGTAATTTTACTTCTGCATAACTGCCACCATGTAAAATTTGCATTATTACAACTGAAATATCTGTATTGCAGTTTCTTACGTGTTTGGCCTACAGCTACAAAACTGTTGGTACTAGCACAATGGTAACTTTATTACAATACTAATCTTACAGAGCAGAAATATAAGTCTCAGCCTGCGGAAATGATGGAACTGGGAAAAATAGAAGTGTCAGCAAAAGTAATACATCTATTGCATTTCAGGGTGCTGTTTCATAGAATCATGATTTGGGTTGGAAGGGACCTTCAAGATCATCTAGTTTCAACTCCCTGCTGTGGGCAGGGACACCTTCCACTAGATCAGGTTGCTCAAAGACCCATCCAATCTGGCCGCGAACGCTTCCAGGGATGGGACATTCACAATTTCTCTGGGCAACTTGTTCCCGTGCTTCATCACCCTCAGAGTGAAGAATTTCTTCCTTAGATCTGGTCTAAATCTCCCCTCTTTCAGTTTAAAGCCACAGCCCCTTGTCCTATCACTACATGCTCTTGTAAAAAGCCCCTCTCCAGCTTTCTTGTAGACTCCCTTTAGGTACTGAAAGGCTGCTATAAAGTCTCTCCAGAGCCTTCTCTTCTATTCGTCAGTGTTCCTGTGCAAACCTATGATATAAAGGGTAACTACCCTGAGCAGATCACTTCACACAAGTACAGTGCCCAGCAGCTGAAGCAGTGGAGGCACAGCCCACTAGAAGGGCAGAGAGAGAAGCTGTGGGATAGACTCACAGACAGGATGCTGTAGACTAAGGAACTTGCATTCCAGAGAGTCAGTCAGCAGCCTGAAATTCCTTGTTACCAGAGCCTCATGCTGAGCTCCCTATCACAAAGTATAGCTGCCCTGAAACTCTGTTTGGATCCTGATAAAAGAGAGAAACCAGAGGCAAAAGTACTGGAATAGGTTGGGCTCTCAGTCTGTGCCTTTAAGCCTGAGATTGCTCTCAATGGCATAAACAATGCCAAACTCAATAAGCAACCAGGACATATATCTATGGGCTTCTAGTTTCCTGGAAATATTTTGCTTTTCAAATCGCACCCAGCAGAAATCAGGCTTCCAAATCCATTACATTCTTATACTGTCTAATACACCCACCACAAAGTCATCTACAGTTCTAAAAACAGGTCAAGATCTCAGTTGCATGCAAGCATTTTTTTCACATCATTACTTTAAAAAATAAGTTATATTATATTAATACAGTAGTAAAAAAATAATAGTTTATATCTCAAAAAATAGCATACAATATGTGTTGAAGACACAAAGATGAACAAGTACCTTTATTTATATTAGAACTTTTTATGTGGTTCCCTATCAGCCTTTGAACTTACCCACATAACAATCATTATGTGACAAAATGTACGGATCATGTCCTTCTTTGGATTCTTTATCCACTTCCTCAAAACTTTTTGGTGGATTTATAAGCTCTCCAGCTAAGACATCTGGAAAGTAAGAAATAAATACATAGTTGGGGGAGGTAAGGGGGATGGGCATTTTGTTTGATTGTTTCTTAATTTTAGGTAATATCTTGTTAGAGGAGATGCTAATACCATGGAATAATGATACCACATTTCTAGTCAATCTACAGGAAACTAACAGCATAATGACATAAGACTAGGGAAAAAAAAATATCACAGAAGCTGAGATGAACATAACTCTTGCAAAAGAGCTACATGGTCAACATATATATGTGATTTGCTCCAATCTATGGAGGAAAAATCCACAGGTCAAAGGTAGTATCTTTTATTAGACCTATTAGAATACCCGGGAAAAGGAAGCTAAGTTGTCAGCTACCTAAACGGTTCTCCAAGGAAATCTACAAATGCAGAACTGGAACAGAGCCAAAAGCCCAACTAGCTACCCAATGTTCTTGGTTGCTTGTTTGCTCATTGTAACTGAAAGATACTAGTACATTTTTATGACTCAAAAAGTTTTTTATGTCTCAAAAACTGCTATAATAATAACTTTTATATTAAGCCGGAACTGTTGGAAGCATAGAATATGTGCTAGATAAATTACAGATTATCTTGTATTTAGAAGAAATAAGTTTTAACACTAAATTTTCCTACCTTGGATGACTTTTTTTCCAAATGTAGTATTAATTATATGGAAGCCCTTAGGTAAGATAGAAGATTGATCATGTGATCTGTCCAAGGATGCTTGATGATTGCTGAAGTAGATTCTTTTTTGTCTTGTATGTTTTGTTGAAAATTGGGTTTAGGAAGTGGATTTCTCAGTGAAGCTGCCTAAAGACATCACAAACAACACAAGAGGCAGGAACACCAGCAAATTTTAATTATTTACACATCAGTACGGCTACCCCCTGACACACACAAACAAAAGTTTGATCATAAGTGTTCTAATGAGATCTTACATGCTTACACTGACATAATTTTATCTACCAAGTTGCAAAACAAAACTGCAATTTGAGAGAAGATCACTAATAATCACTACCATGTTGAATCTCCAGCTAAATAAAATACATACTGTGAGACAGAACTTTTTATCTTTATGCAAGTTTTTCCACTTGGTAATTTATAAAATTTCAGACTGCAGCCTTTCTGTTCTTAGTCTATATTAGAAACTAGAGTCAAATTGTAATATGACCAAAACTTCAGTGTGAAAATGATAATAGTTATGTCATCTTTGGAATGAAGTCTCCTGGTGCTTATGACTAAAACCACCTATTGTCTAGCAGTTAAGAAATTACTTCAGCAGGGTTTTCAAAGCTTAGCACTAGGTTGGATAAAATTTTTTTCCCACTGTACACACTGGGCTTGGGTCAATAGAAGTTACCCATAAAATTAAGTCAACTTCAAGACAAAAAAAAAAAAAGTTTAAAAAACATCAAAACAGGGTATTTTCATCTTCTCAAATCATTTGATTTTTCAGGTTACTCATCAAAGTAATGGGGACTCTAAAGAGAGTTTATTATCGCTCTTGTTGAATGTTATATAAAGAAATACTAAAAAAAGTAGTAGCAAATACAATAGATCCAAAACGAAGCTTAGAGAACTCACTAAGATTCCAATCCTTCCTCCAGTTAATACTTAATTAATAATGCAAAGTGAAGCAGTCTTCAACAGACAGCACAGGCTAAACAAATCAATCCATTCAATGTAAAACTTGTGAGGATGGACACCAGGAACCTGTGGGGTTTTTTTTAATTTTGTATATGCCTAATAAATGCCCTATTCAACATCCTCTAATAACAGGACTTACATGTTTCAACCTGAAGACTTATTTTTGAGACCTGAACCTCAACTTCTTCATTTGTAAAATTGAAAACTATTCATTTACAAGTTGATGAAATGCATCATAAAAGCAAACTTTACTAACACAACTGTTATTTTTAGAGATTTGAACAATAATTATGTGATAAAATCACCAATGACCTGTTGAGTTGTTTGATTACAGAATACAAAAAAAAATTCTGAAGTAAAGAATACACACAAAATAGTGTGATGTACCCAAAACATCACTTTTTAATTCACAAAATCAGTTTCAACCCAAAGGTAAGAAAGAATACATAATTACACTGAACCTTCTCAGGACCTTCTCAGATAGCAGTTCTCTTGCTAAGCGTTCTATAGGTTTTACCTCTGTAATCAGCAAAGAAAGCAGCCAAACTTGTGGGTAGAAGACTGTTTATTAACTGAAATGTTGAAATGAAATTAATAATTCAGCAGTCATTGCAAAAGTTAAGTCACTGATAAGATAAAAATCGCTGAACTTCAAGCGTTCTCCTATTTCAATCATGCTAATTAAATCCTACGAATTAACCTCAGAATTCAGATAACCCACAACGCGGTGAAACGCTGCAGTGTAAATCACTCAGCTATGCACCTTTATCCCTGACTATGAAGAAATCAGCTGCTCTTACCAAGGGCATTCTTATGCGGTCCACTCTTAAACAAAAGCGTATGAGTCACGTTCTTACACTAAGTGAAGAACATGGCTCTATGCCATGTGTCAAGTGAGCTGCAATGTCAGGATCATCTCTTCTGCTGTAAAATATTCTTTCAACACTAGGAGCCAAATTTGTTTTATTTCAAAACTTGAACACTAGTTGGAGTAATAGGCTACATAAAGACAAAGCAAAAACAACTTTACACCAAATAGTCACAAAATATTAATGAAAAGAAAATGTACTGCAGCCATTCCAGCGTGATTCCACAGAGGTAAAAGCAAAATATGAGGACATCTTAGGGCTGAAACATGCGCATACACTCCTGCAGATGATGATATTCTAAACAAAAGGTCAATGTAGCCCAACCTAAATTTTATCAAACCAGCAACAGAAGTAACAAGAGAGTTGCTAAGTTTTAACTGTCTGCTTCAGTCTTTAAGATGGCTGGCTAACAGCTTCTTCACGCATACTGCATGAAAAGTAGGTGTTACATTTATCAACTTTAGAAACTTTTAACCTGATTCAGAACAACTCTGCCATCAATGAAGCAATTTCAGAAATTATTTTAACCACAGTTTTGTGTTTTTTTAATTACTCATTTAAAGGGAGAGCTGCTATTTAAGGGATCTGTTTGTATCTCAGTACCCTCTGACTCTTCATGGATGTGTGGAAGAGCCAGTGCAAGGCACAATTCTGAGGGGCATCCTTGATAAAGAAGAAGGGACCTCCATCAGAAGCAATAATAATTCCTAATAACAATCACTACAACTGTATTACCAGATAAAAACCATCTAAGATAATGCTATTTAGTCCCATCTAAGCAGGCATGGTGAATTTTGTTAATCATGCAGAGTGAAAAAGAACTGCCAGAAGTGTTTTACAGTCCTGCCAGCTATTATCTATGATTCCGTGTGACAAAAATTAACATAAAAAAAACAACCAACAGTAGTTTCTAAAGAGAAGGGATGTAGAAAAAATGACCAAGGTTTCACTGTTTTTTTTTTTTTTTTTTTTTTTTTTTTTAGGGCTTGTCTCAAAGCACAATCACTAATGGGAAACCATTACAAAAGTTTCACAAGGAGTGCCTGAAAAACCAACTCACCTCAGGTAAAACCTCAGTGAGACAACTCAGTCGTATCACCAGTGGGAAGCAACTTTCCAGCCTAAACAATACAATCAAAAAAAAAAGGCATAACCGAACCCACTGTACTAATAAGTACAACTAGCCAAATTGGGATCTGACACCTTGCATGACATTTTGTCTAATTGTCCCCATTTTGATAAAAGCGGGAAAAAAAGGAGTCATGCATATTTTAGAGGAGAGAGGGGACACCACAGCACAGCGTGCCTGCCTGCCCCACACGCTGCCCTCTTCCCTCAGCCCACGGTGAGACCCTGGCCCCAAAAGGTGCATTCCCTGGAGAAAGCCAGGAAACAAATTGCACTCAGGCTATTTTGTAACCATCATGATATAAGGAATCAATTAAGGTACAACTGCAGATGTAGGTTTCTTAGGCCAATTATTTGAAGTCCTTGAAAATCCGCCAGCTTTCAGACAGGTGGGTTGAATCACCTTTGGGTTGAAAGATCTTACATCGTCAAAAGTCTGATCAAACTTTAAAACTTTATTAATTGTTCTAATAAAAAAATACAGCCCCTTTTGAAAATGCTGTCACATGTATAAACACATTAATAAAATATTTTATACTGAGACTGCTCCTCTAGAGAAAACTGCAGCTCCCATCTACACAGCTGCACAGAGGCAGGTGAGAGAGAAGCCTGTCAGCACTACCCATATATCAGGACATGTGAATGCTCTTACTGTTCGTCTTAAATGAGTCAATATATTCTATATCTAAACCCCTGTGTTTGCCTTTTAGAAACAGATGTGGATTATATCAGAAAAGCAGCATGGGCAAGACAGGGTGAACAAGCTTCACCGCTGTTTAAAAGCCCCTCAGGCCTTACAAAGACTTCTACTCTCAGGTGACACTTAGTAAACTCTCCTCTTCTTCCCAGCAAAATATCTAAATTTCATCACATCCTGTTCCATTCTCTATAGTCCAATGATGGTGAAACCAATTTTAGATAAACACACAGACCTTAATCATAATTAATTAACAAACATTACCAGCTGTTGCCATTTTATTCTCGGTTCAAACATTTGTTTCATAAGGATTTAAAATGAAGGAAGCTAAATTAAAACTGAATTCTCAGGACCCTTTCCTACAAATGGAAGGTGAGAGGTTTGGGCAGTGATTGCTCTCTGATGGCCGGGCCACCAGGCGGTAGGGATGCCTGGCTGCCTGCTCGACAATGGTACATGTCAGTACTGCGATCAGCTAGCTTGTCACACGCATAAACACAGCTTAATCTTCTCCAGGTGACCCATGTTATCTTCAGCTCTCATCTAGCTGCGGCAGTTGCTGGTGCCCTTTTCCAAAAGTAGGTGTGTTTTTCTGCTGTAGGCATGGCCGTACAACACTGCTGATACAGAACATCTCTGACCACCTGGGAACCAAAGAAACTCTTATAAACTCTTAATATGTTCAGTTCATTTATATTTCAGTCATATTTGTTGTTACTTAAAAGTTTAGAGTGCTCCTGCCAAATAAAGCAGTAATTATTGGTAGTTTAATAAATAAAATAAAATGATCAGTTATCTCTTGCCTTGTGATCTTTTCATGTCAGGTGCAATTTCTATCTAGTAAAGGCTAAACTGTCATTTGAACAAAACTGCAGGTGTTAGAAATCAGGGATGGATTTGATCTGACTGATAGGAGTAACTGTGTAAGGATAATGCTGTCAGAAGAGGGAACTATTTATACAAAGGAAGAACAACGCATATATCACCAAAATTATATGGTAATAGTAAGGTGCAGGAAACTAGGACTTGAATTTTTATTCTTGTGTTTGTTGTACTTCTAGCTGGCTATCCACCTGTGCTTAGGGTAATACCATTTTTGTACATTCTGTTTATTTATTTTATTTTTACATTGTTTTTTTTTCCCCAGTAGGTGGCCACACTTGCTAATTGAAAGAATCCACTCAGCCCTGACGGAGTGGGTTGCGTCAAAGGCAAAAAGTAGGACCTGGAAGTGTAAAAAGAATGCCTACTGCAGAAACAAGCAGAGCAGAAAGTCCTCGGCTGCCTCTGTTTGCCCCCCCCTTTTTTTTTTTCAGCAGAGATGCAGGTATCTATGAATTGATTTGAAACCTACTAACAATATACATGCTTCTCTTAGCTATCTTTCACCTATGTCTTGGAAGCAGACCCAAAACCCTGCTCTTAGAAATGCTCTCATTTGCTAGCCTCTTTGTAGGAAAGAGAGATGCCTCAGTGGCTGCTTTCCACAGGAGATGCACTCAGGTGCCAGGGAAAGCAGGAAAACATTATCTGCAGCAGCTGCTTCTATTATAAACTACTATAGCAGGGTGGATACTGTAGAAAACTGGCTAGTAAAAAGGTGAGAAGAATATATCTCTTTCACCTATATAAAAAATACCCTACTATTAAGCTGTAAAAACTGCATCCCTACTTTCACCTTCTATCAGAAAAAAAAAAAAAATTCTTAAAAATGGGAACCTTGAAATCACAGAAATGAAACTGAAATTGTAGTGGATGAATTTGGGAAGTTGTTGCCTTCGTATGCATTGGACTAAAAGTAGATAGGATTCAGTCCAGTAAAAGCCAGGCTAAATGCAGTCTCATCCTATTATGGGTGGATACACAATATGAGAAATGGTAGTAAAAACTAGAGTTTCTTACCTCTATTTTCTAGGCATTTTCTTAAGACCACAGTGCAGTTACAAAACATGAACTCAAAGTTCCGTGTAGATGTATCCAAGGAAGGAGCTGCCCCTTCTCCCTGTAAGTTTGCTCACTTTAGGAATCAGCATCATACTCATTCTTTCTTAGATCAAAAGTTAGCTAGTGTGCAGGAAGAGTATTTGAAGGGTAGGAAGGATCTGTAAATTTTAAAGATAAGATGATGAATTAACAACAAAAAAAATAAAGGGTAGGAAGGATCTGTAAATTTTAAAGATAAGATGATGAATTAACAACAAAAAAAATAATCTCCTATGTTAAAAAATCCAATCTCTAGAGAAATCTGTTTTGGAAAAATATCCCCTTCTACAGCAGTACTATTTAATAACGGGGCTTGTCATTTGAAAGTTACCACTTGTAAGTTACTTGTAAGTACTATTTGAAAGTTACTTGTTGACATTCAGTTCTCAGAATATAGTGCCTTTTTCTGTCTTGTTCAAACTAAAACTGAGGAATGGAAACTGCCTAAACCCTGCATTTTACTTTCTTTATGAAGCACAAAGATCCCATGTTCTGCAGCACAGTTCTCATTCTGACTATGGTGCTGGCATAGATGGCAGTAAAAGCACTAAGTTTTTTAATTCCTTAAAGTCTTTGAAGACCAGAGAACTCTCATGTAAAATACTGAAAATTTTGGGAAACTCTTGAAAGATGTTAGCCACGCTCATGCACTTTGCTGGTTGCTTTCATGTTTTTTATTCAACTCATTTACAAATAGAAAATTACTGCTATTTGCTGCACCCATTCTATATGCTATGATATGGCCAAAACAATGGATGTACAGAGAAAACATACACAAGCAGAGACAGAAGAAAGACAGAAAAAAAGGATATTATAGCAGATGGACACATGGAAAAAAAAAATCGAGCAAGTGAAACCAAAAAGAAAATTCAAATGGAATAAAGAGATTTTGCATGTCATCTAAAGTCAACTTCCATTTATTGTTATAAGTATTAATAAAATCTGCAGAGAAATGCTGAAATAGACAGAAATGCATCTGGTGAAATCATGACCCACTAACACAAATTTTTTTGTTAATATCATCCAACACAGTTTCACTTTTGCTATTTGACATATGACCCAAGATGACATAAAATACAAAAACATGATCACTGGCAGGGCTGTTCAGGTGATTTCAGAGCTTTTCTTACAGAGCTACTTGTCCAGACTTCCAGAAGAAGAAACTCTTCTTCACCACCAACATTCACAGACCTGTCATGACCAAAATAGAGTAACTGGAACTCGGTCATTTGATGACTGCCGCATGTTCTCCTTCCTCTGTTTCACACATTCACAGCGAACCTTCGCTGTTTGCTGACCCCGGGTGTCAGCTTCAGCCAGCTATGAACAATTTGGGAGTTTCACAAAGCAAAAGAGGCAGACCATAGCTCTGTGTTGCTCTCAAGGAGCTAGTTAGCTAGTAGGAACCTCACTCATGTAACACACGCTTTCCAGCAGCACACCAGTATCACAGCTCTGCTCTTGTAGGATCCAAGCCTCAGAGTGCATCCATCACATAATCCAAAACATGGATTGCCTATATACTTAACACACTAAAAGCATGTGAGATTTGCATTCATGCTAGCAGCTTCAGCAAAATGGCCTACGTATCTTAAGTCTGCTCAATAGATTCCGAAGAGAAAAAAAAGACTCTCATGAGAAAATTATACTTAATTGCTTTCACTCCCTTTTTATTTGTGCAATTATATCAAATGAATATTATTCCTGCATCAAAAATTCCATTCAGTCTTGAATTTCAGATACATTTGCTAATCTGAAAGATTATTCTAGATGTAGAAAGTATTTATTTATTTATTTGTATTAGAAGTATAGACTATCTCATCCCTTCATACGGAATGTATGCATTATGTATGCATAATGCTGCATTATGTTTTCTATTTTCTCTCATTCTTCCTATGTAAACTGAGTGTACAGTTTCACGTTTTTTCACTTTTTTAAAGTAATATATTGGCCTTACAAAAAGCATTTATGTAAGTGATTAACTTTTACTTAGTAGAATGGTCAAATTACTCTGAGACCAATCAGCTAAAAATGGAAAAGTACATGGAAAAGAAGAATTAAAAATGAAAAGAAAAAGAATAGTCTGGTTTTATTCCATTCACTTCATTAATTTTTAAAATATTGATATGTCCAGGGAAGGGAAGGGAAGGCCAAAAAAAAGGAAAACACAAAGGCAGACAGATATGAGATTTGCTGATTTACCTACAAGGCCATCACGTTTAATAGTTTACAAGTACTGAGGTATTTCTAAAGCAGCAGTAAAGAGTGGAGATGATTAAAAAAAAAGGCTGTGACATGACTGATTATACCCTTCTTTCTGTTCTCAGCATACTTTTGAAGTAGCAGCAACAGGAGAAGATAAATCTTCACTGGCAAGAGGACTGACTGGACAACTAACATGGAAATCATGTATTTTATGAATAGAGTGTAACAGAGCCTTAGCTCTAGTATAACACTGGCCATAGGCTTTCCCTAACTTAATTTTCGCTTCAATTAAATTCATGTGGTTGAACTAAAGCATATTTTGAGAAGACAGCAACATCAAATCTTGATTCAGTATTTCCAGTGATGGAGTAGCTAAACAACCTTCATTAAATTGTACCAAAACTAAATGTCTTGCCGGTTTGGCTTTTCATTTCCTTCAAATGCCAACTATTAGACCTTGTTAAAACTGCTAGACTGAAGAAACACTTACCATTACTGTTTTCTTTCCTATACAGCCCACTTATAGTCTGCGACCAAGTGATCTTTACCCTTCTCTCTTACAAGGTCAGCAGGTCTTCGCTTCTTCCACCGCGACACAAGTTTTCCAGTCTTTTAACCATTCTTAAAGGCCATCCCTCAATTATCCTCAAATTTTTCAGTGTGCTTCCTCCGTTATAGACATAAAAAATGCACACGGATTACAACAGCTTCACAAAATACACCAGTATAGCAGAAAATCAACGATGTATGTCCATCAATCTCTAAAGCAACGTGTGTTATTTAATATTTACATGTATTAAGTCAGATGGTTTGTACCCACCTAGCAAGCCATCAAGACTTGTGTGCTAGCTCTCAAGTCTTAGCACTCCCCCAATAACGAGCGTATCTCTACGGCTTTATCTGTGCTTGTTCAGTTCTTAAAAAGTTAGGTGAATTCCCAATTGTAATTCACATTTTGCTGTGCGGTTCCTTCTTCCAACTCATTTGACTACTAGCTTTGGAAACCAGTTCTTTTGAAGGATTAAACCAGGGCTCTTCTGTCCGTGCGACGCTCAGTTCCCACGCCAGGCCAGGCACCTCGGCGGCCCCTCAGGCTGCACTGCACCCGCAGCCCCTAGGGAACAGGCAGGCAAGGTGCTCGGTCGGCCGCTCCCAGAGACTCTCCTCTGCGCCGAGGAGACGCAGGAGGTACGGATGAAGTCACCACGCCGCTGACAGGCCACCTCGGCAGCGACTGGTCGCTCCTCGGGACTCGCCCGGCTGCAGAAGGCGGCCGGTGAAGCGGGGCGCGGGGGGACGGCGACAGCCCCTCCCTCAGGCCT